AAGGAGCGCAAGCACCAGAGGGTGCGGGGGGGGGCCGGGGGTTCGCGGCGGGGCAGGGCAGGGCTGCCGCGGCCGGCCGGGGGGAGAGCCGGGCCCCGGGGCCTCCGCCGCCGTCCCCCGCCCCGCAGCCGCCGGGGAAAACAAAGCGGGAGGCCGGGGTGCGGGCCGGGAGGCCGCGGAGCCGGTGTGGGTAGGAGCAGGGCAGGCTCACGGGCTCTGCGTGGATGCTGCCTTAGCGTCGCTGAGGGTTTGGGTGTGTTGGGTTTTGGTTTTGGGTTTTTTTTTCCCCTTCCCTCCTGGAAGTTTCTTTCCTCCTTCCCTCTCTCCACCCCTTCCCCAGTCACTGCATTTCCTTCCCCTGGTGTCTCCCCGATTAGGACTCCTGCTCCATCCCCTCTCCTGACGAGAGGACAGTGCTGCTTCCTGCTAGGCCGGGAAAGGTCACAGACAATAATACACTTTTCTCTCCAGAGCTGTGAATGATTTAGCACTCTAGTCTTCCTGGCAGACTCATCGGGTAGGCAAGTCACAGGAGAGAGATGGAGGACCAAGTGATTTCAGGGCAGCGTTAGAGCTGAAGAGTAGGGAAGAGCACTCTCCCGGGTTCCCGCTCCATCCTCTGATGGGAAGAGGTTGTCCCTTGGCTTGATCTGGGGTGGTCATAGTGTTCCCTGACCCCACTCCCATGAAAGCCCGAGGTAAAGATCATGTCCCACATCCTCTTACCCTCACGTGGCAGGACAGCAGCATGAGCTGCTCCGCTTACTGCAGTGAAAGTGGCAGGTCTACTCTTTAAACCATCCAGATAACTCATTTAAAGAAGTGGTTCTTCTCATAAGTGACTGTGCTAAATCATGACAGCTGCGCTGCCTCATGCCATGCCTGCTGGCACACACAGATTGGAATAAAGAGGAGACAGGGAATTTCTGGAAGAGACCTCAGACTTCAAGAGTTGGCTTTAATTTAAATAAATTCAAGTTTTATGTCTTAAAAAGAGTTAGCTAGGGGACTTTCGCTTAGCGTATGAAAAATCCAGGATAATTCCCGCAACATTTTGCGGAAGAAGTCTCAGGGCAGTGTCTCTGAAAAGGATGGTAGAAGATCCTTAATGTATAAAGCCCTGGTAAGTCTCCAGAGTATGAAGGACGAAGGTCTAGAGAATAGATACAAGTTCGTGTACCAAACCTGTGCCTTTGCTCTTCTAACAGCTCTAACTTGGAGGCAAGTGGGCGTCTCTTGTGCTGGTCCCATCCTGTGTCTGGGCCCTCCGCTAGAATCAAGTTAGCCGTTCCTGAGCCCTAGCTGCCAGAAGGTTTTTTGAGGGCGTGGCACCTCTGGGAAGAGAGAC